CTTTGACGTACAGTTTGACTTAAAAGCCCATAATAATGGTTTTCCCTTTAAAGTTTATAGTGTACATAGGTATTGTGTAATACCTTTAGAAGTTACTTAATAACTAGATCATGTGCCCATTTTACTTCCATGTGTGAAAACAGGTGATATGGGAAGTCTTTAGATGTTTTCTAACGAAACATTAGTGAACAAACAGCCCTACGAAGACCAGTCTTTAAGTTATAAAATTAAGATCCTAACATTGATCAAATCTACCAAGCATGGCCATCCATCTACAGTTACACAGTAAGGAGATTATTGATAAGATAAATAGCAAAGAGACCAAGGGCATCTCTGCAGGTTTAGAGTGCCATAGCTCAGATGGGAGAATTTGTGGACAGGACAATTCATGTTCTCCACAAAACCACTCTTGATGAAAGAGTAATGAGACGAAAGCAACTGTTACAAGGAAGCCAAGAAGTTCCCACAAATCATGAAGGAGGCAGATCAAACATGAACAAAAGTTTTCTGGTCACAAGAAACCCATATTGAACTCTTTGACCTTCATCAAAAACCTTTATTTGTGGGATAGAATAAACAACCAACCTGGAAGCTCTATCCTATAGTAAAACATGCTATCAACATCAAACTGTGGGGATGCTGGTATACAGCAGGGACATGAAAGCAGGTTTATAAAAAGAGATCAATTCTGGAAGATTCTAAAAGGAAACATATTGAGGCTCCAGATGAAGTCAGACTGGGGTTTACCTTCTAGCAGTTTATCTTCTAACAGTACAACAACCTTAAAGATAAGGTCTGATGAATAATGCAGTGGCTTAGAATAAAACATGTGTCACAGTGGCCCAGTCAAATCCCAGGCTAAAACCCAGGCTTAGAAATGGCTGTTCTGTGATGCTCTTTGGCCACTCTGACTGATGTTGTGCTACTATGTCAAGAAGAATGAGCAAAAAGCTACCAGTTACTAGAGATGTACACTAAAACAGGTGTAGATGTAAATGTACAAAAGGTGACTCTTCAAGGCATTAGGCATCAGACCTAGAGGGCTGAGTATGTCCATGTTATACTACTACTTATTTATAACCCATTTTCATTATTTGTCCTTTGGTGTTTTGGTCTTTTGCCATATCTCATAAAAAATCCCAAGAAAATCAGTTGAAGCTTTTGGCCACAATGTGACAAAATGTTAAATTGTGCATACACCAAAATTTTATGACAAAACAAAAGACCTTTTAATTGATTTATTATAAATTGTTTTTTACAAAGTTTGATAAATCATATTTACTGTTGTGTTAAGTTCAAGTTTTTCTTAAACAAAAAAAACTTTGTAGATGTCATGAATGGTTTTAATTCAAACCCACATGCAGAACACAACGGAGGCTGGGTAAAAGTTTAACAGAGTTTATTAAAGATTGTTGACACAAAAACATGAACAGGATCTGGAACTGGTCCGGGTTGGGTTCACTGAAGTCTGTAGAGATGGATAGTTTGATTAGCTGGGCAGACAGATGATTAATGAGTCCTTTAAGATAATTCTGAGTCTACCTTGACGGAGTCCAGGCTTCTCTTGTGAGAGAGGGAACCGTTGGGTCCAGAGACTGTTGGTTCAGCAGAGTACACAAGCAGCTGCAGCGTCTAGCTTCTGATTTTGAATGGCAGACCTTGATCAGAGTTTCCAGCTCTTCACAGAGAGCAGCAGGGGATATCCAAATAGGAATCTTCAGGTTTGGCTCACCAGGGCTGGAAGGCAGGTTAAGCTCACCCAGAGCTTCAGGCTTGAGACAGGTTTCCTGTGAGCAAAGACAGAGGTGGATTAGAATCAGTTTTCTCACTTAGAGACAACTTAGATTCTTTCAGGTAACAGAGGCTCAGGTTGCTAACCAAACTAAGGTCAACACTGTGGCGTTGAAGGAAGGTCTGGCAGCTGCTTATGTAGGGAGGGTTCCTGATGAGCAGACGAGCTCCAGGTGTGCTGGAGGGCTCCAGCCCAGGAGACCCACGGCGCACTCTGCTGGTGGAAGGTGGTACATCCCCAGATCCCAACAGTAACCCAGTCCCTAAAAGAAAACAAAAAGCAGAAGAGGATCCTCGGCGCCCTCTGGTGGGCAATCCTCAGGATCCCAACATTAGCAAACCTTAAGGTTATAGAGGGTTAACCAAATAGTTAAAATTCTTCCTCTACTCATGATTTAGCGATGCATTGGGGAATTTCAGGCCCACTGCGGTTACACATTAACAAAAAAAGGCTCAATTACCATGAAAACTTAACAGCACAACCTCTAATGCCCTAGAGGCTCAAAAAGCTCTGCTAGAAAGGTCTACATTTACTATTAAGTTACTTGGTTTGTAGTAATTTATCAACCTGTTATGTTTTGTGTTTTTTTCTAGCTGACCATAATTCTGTTAAATTAAAACTATTGTCAGTAGCTGATTATCAAAAAATTCTTTTATAAACAAATTAAACATGAAAATGTCTGTTTTCTCTAAATAACAGACATACAGTAAACACTAATGAAGTACCTTCACATCACATCTTAATGTCTTCACCTAGAATTAATTTTACATTTAACTCATTTAGACCACTGCATTCCAGATCAACTTGTTCAGTCTGACTTTTGGCAAATATTGAGCATTAATAGCCATCTAACACTCAGGAATAGAAAGGCAATCACTATTACTAGTATTTGTTTATTTCATTTAATGCTTTTTCACTTATTGATATTTTTTGTATTTTTAGGATTAGTGATAATTTTCGCTTTGATTAAGTTCTCATGAGCTTCAGCTGTCTTGGTCTCTGTCTGTTTTTACTGTTTTCTCTGCCAGTGACTCTCATTTCGTCTGTGTTTACTAATAACAAGGTTGTTCCATAGACAAGACTTGCTATGTGTTTGGTAGCCAAACTGAAACTTGAACTTTGCCATCAGCCATCAGCTTTTGATAACCCTGAAATCTCCTCTGTTTAAAATAAAAAATAGGGGTGTACCGATTTATCAGCCGACCGATCAATCGGCTTAGATTTTCTGAATGTTGAGATATCATTATATATAATTCATATTTGAGCGCAGTTTTTTCAGAAACTTACATTGTTTTACAGCAACGATAAAAAAAAAATTCAGTAAAAAAATATTTAAATGTCTTGTGTCTTGTGATCTCATAGCAACTGACAATGTCAGGTATAAAAATAAATATATATGTCAAAATCAGAATTGGCATTGCAGGCATGATTGGAATCGGTGATTGGCCAGAAACCTGTAATCAGTGCAGTCCTTATTAAAAACTAGTTTCAGTGTAGTTGTTTTCCCAAAATTGCATGCTTGTTATGAGGGATTGCTGCAAAGTCAAGGAATGCAAACAATTGTCTACTGTTGCTTGCTTCATCTAAATTTTCATTTTAGGACAATTTTATTGTGCAGGACTGGTCCTTGTTTTTTTCCTTGAAAACCAGAAAAAGGAAATTACTCTAGTGTTTTCATTTTTTTAAATTTCCAAATCAAAAATGGAAAAACAGAAAACAGCCGACTTGTCTTTCCTGTCCCCAGCTTTGAGAAACAGAAAAAAACTAGAAACACTTCCGGGTCATCTGTGAACCTGTCTTCGTCTCTCAACTCTAAAAAATAAAATGTCAAAAGAAATTGACAAAATAAAAGATAAAAAACGAGCCGTGATCTGATTATTATTTCTAATCTTAAATAGTGCATCGTAGAACACAAACTTTTGTCAATGCAATCAAAGTCTGTAAAGGGTGGGTTTACTTCTTTCTTTTTTTTTATGGGAAAAATTGATTTTTCAATATTTAACTTTTACTTCACAGATTACCTATCTTAGTGTTGAAAAAAATAAATGGGTCCTATCTCTGGCTTATTGGTGTATTTATGCACACTACCAAATCCCCTCCAGAAATTCTATATGATGGGTGGTTATATGTGTTGCTCTTATGGGAAAATAAATAATACGTTTTAGAAAATGTGTCATCCTTAACACAAGATGAGGAAAATTAGTGAAAGGGCTCATTTATTTGAACAACTGACAAAGAGGGGGAAGGCTCCTCGCCTGGCCTGTAGGCATCTGTTTGGATACCAGCTGTTACCTGCCTGATACTCGTAGAGTTTAGCCTGTTCGCTCTTCTCTGAGGGTAAAATAAATGGCTGCATTGTCCTTTAAAACAAGTCCTGTTTTTGTAGAAAAATCACCTGAGCCACAATATTAGATTCTAATCCAGTAGAGTGCAGTTGTTGTTTCAGATAGAGGTTTACTGTTTTTAAGGCTGCCTATGGTTTTTGCAAACTATGAATTGCTAAGTTTAAACACACAAGCATAATTGAATGTTTTCATCTCTTGACCAACTTAGTCTACATCTTATAGCAGAAATGAGACATTATTTTTGTTTCTAGTGTTGGAAAGTGTTCTGAAAGTTTAGTCTGGTTTAAATTCCTTTTTCAGTAGCTCTAACACCCGCTGCAGTCGAGTTTCACTTCATTTTATGTCATTATCTATGCATACACCAGACCTACAATGTAAACTGTCTCACAGCAGTTGAAATTCATTGCATTGTATTGCCAGAGTGTGATCAAAGAATGCAGCGGTGTGTCATGCACATCATGTGTTATCACCAGGTGTGGCAGCTCAGTCACAGCAGACTTTGACACCTCATGTCTTGAGATTAGATGAAAAGCAAGTTCTTTAGTTATTCTTTAAAATAAAGGGTGAAAAATAATTGGTTTGACCAGTGATACAACTGTTATCATACAGTGAAATAATATCAGCAATATCTTTATTGTACCTGCCTGGCTGTTTTTCTCCAGGACTTTCTCTGGCCGTGCAGCGGTTCTCGCAGTCTCTGCAGGAGTTCCAGTTTGAATGCATCGGAGACGCTGAGACTGATGATGAGATCAATATAGGTGAGAAAAATACAACAGAATAACCTCCATCTAAGACTTCTCTGTAAGATATGACCTAGACCCAGATATTTGAAGTATGTGATCTCTTCTGCAGCTCAGTCCTTAAAGGAGTTCTCTCAGCTCTTAAGCACCATGGAAGAGGAGAGAAAACGACTGGTAAGAATTCATGATTTTGTTTATAGTCATATATTGAGCAGAGTAAGAAAAGCTTAAAACAAATAAAAATAAAACTGACTTAGTTATTTTTTCAGCTTCTTTTTTTTCTCAGATTTGGTTTAGTATGCCCCAATTGGGACTGATGTTTAAAAAGGTTTGGGTTTATTAAAAGATGTGAAAACTTTTTGGCACGTGCAAAGCTGATCTTCATACCAGGTGCATATCAATTTTCCTGTGTCACATGAAAAGAATAGTGGAGGCAAACTCTTTTTTCCGTGTGCCGTCATGAATGCATGGATCATATCTGCATGAGCACAATACAGACTAATGGCTGGAGAATACTTGATACACATTTATCAAACTTGAAATTGAGGCGCAAACTCCTTAAACAATTTCTGGTGTCATTGTGACTAAGGATGCAGCCATCCACATTCTTTCACTTCTGACCGATTCCGATTTGGATTTCTGCTGATCTCAATACTTTATTGATAATAGATCTATGTTTTCTTTAATGTTATCATCATTACTATTGAAATAAAATGCTGTCATAAACTCTTCTCTACCAGCAAATAAATTGATCAAGTGTGTATCCAAAAGGAAATTTGAGATTAGTTTAAGAAAAAGGAAAATTGTGCATCATGTTGAAAGGACAATTTACATCCTGAAAACAATTATATAACTGTAAGGGTTCAAACTGGCTTTATTTAGTAAGGACAGATGCCCATAAAGGGATAAACATCTCTACCGTTATGGAGTTTTTTTAACTTAACTTTTTTAACTTCTATTAATCAGGCCCATTTTCACCAACACTCGATTTTCTTCAATATCAGGACCACTACAGATACTATCAGATTGGTCTCTAATTAAGTCCACAAAGGAGGCACTGATTTAATGACAGACTGGAAGGAAAGTCTTTGTTCATGTCAGCGTATCTGGTCTGTCAAAGATAGAAGCAAAGGAGGTCCGTGTTGGCCAGCTGGTTTCAGAATCTCTTCTTCTTTTATGGTATTTTTCATACTGCCAGTAACGCCAGCAGTTTGCTCATTTAAAAAAGGCAGACAGAACCTGTATGCACATCTTATTCATGGCACACAATCACCCACAACACACAGTTATTTAACCTGCCAAATATTTTTTGTCAAACTGATCTTACACAGGATAGTTCAGTCCAATTTATTGCAACAAAGTGAGAAACAAAGGTTATGTGAATTAGATTAAATGTTTTTTTTGTTTTTTTTGTTGATAGTAGGCATGTTTGTCTTTTTTTATGCTGTTTCAGTTATGTCCCTTGGAAATCAGGTAAGTCAAACAATCCAAACAGGTTTGTGACAGGATTAAAGAGCATCAGGAAACGAAGCTTCACGCTGGCCCCGTTTGATTGAAATGTGAAACTAATGTGCATGTTGAAACGTGATACTTTTCACGCTGTTTCAGCAAACAGTTTTCTGCTGTTTAAATATTTGATTCTCTCTGCGTTATCTGACCCAAGCCTTTTCCTTCATATATTTTATGTTTTACGAGTGAAATTTAAGTAGATTTCTTAGAAGGTTTCAGGCCTCATAGACAGCTTCTCACTAACTGCCTTGGATTTTTCTCTTTTTTTTTTGCTTTCCCTCTACACTGATTCACACATTTGTGGGTTAACTTTGTGCCAGCAGCACCGTGTTCACTGCAATTGGGAAATGTCTTGGACTCAGTGATCCTCCATCATTCGGAGGCCTTTGTGAGGACTGATTGAATTTTGGCACACTCTGTGTGAAGCCTAAGCTCACAGCGTTTGTAACAGAGGAGCATAGTATGCTGCCTTATATATAAACCCTTGTGTGAGTGTGTGTTTGCCTTTGTGGCAGCCTGCTTGGTCTGGTTGCAGAGGAACCATGTGGAACCTATTCTGGCAATTCCCCTGTGAGATGGAGTGCAGTTGGACAGCCTGGGAAAGTCCATAAAAGGTTTCTGTGTGTGCTTGTGTGTTTGTCTTCTGTCTTTTGCCCTCGCTGTGTGTGTTTGGATTTTTCACTTTTTTTCCACTTGCTTTTACTGGAACTCTGCTGATTAATCTAAACTTATAATAATACAATTATTAGACCGTCTTTTGGAAAATAGTTTCCTTTTGAAATACTTTCCTGTTCAACCCAAAAGTTCTATTACCGGGAGTCGACCAAACCCAACAGTCTCAGTTTTCAGTTTCCCTCTGCCTGCACTGATGTGTTGAAAAGTCTAACATCACAATGAAAGACTCCCTGTTTTGGATACCATTGCGGATTTAAGATGAAGTGAAAATTTATACTGCGTACAGTAACATCCTCTTTATATTTAATATCATGGAGTTTATCCTCAAAGTACTCAATCATTAAAAAATGGTACCACTGATGTACATTTATCAGTAATATACTGAAAGAAAATTCTGCAAAATGGGTTTGACTTTTATGCAAGCTGCACAATCTGTAGTCCTAGGCTCTATTACAAGAGGTTAATTTATTCACACAGATAGAAAAAATGCTATATTTAAGTAGGGTTACATTATGTAAAAGATAAAATAACAGTATTGTTGTTGAATGCAATGTCCATCTCCTATATCAATCACTTTGCATCTGCTTAAAAACATCAGTCACCAAAATCTACTGATATATTATTGACTAAAAAGACCTGATATGTTATTAGCATGTAGCTCAGGAAGAAGGAAAGTTTTTATTTAACTGTTTGCCTATTACTGTAACCAAATATTCTTATTCTTTTAGGCCATTTGAAGCGATTTATTTCCAGCTGAAACCATCTTGCGTTTTTTAATATTAGTTCATATCAACCTACCTCTGATTTTTTTTGGTGTTATTTTGACCTCAATGAAAACAAAGATTTACTGTAGGATAAAACTAATTCCAGCTTAAAGTCATAAACTTCACAGCAACTTTTTCGTGAAGCTGACTGTGGATTAAGATATTATGTGTGTTTTGTAATATTTTGATTAGAGTTCTTTGTAAAAGATAATGCAACCCTTTTTGGTATGTAATTTATCATATTTAGTTTAACACAATTGTTTGCGTTAGCAGGGTAGGACATTTAAAAAACATTATGATATAGTAACCAAGTATAACTAAATACATACCAAAAAGGGTTGCATTAGTTTTTTGATTGCAGTAAAGTAAAATCTTCAATAAAAAAATGAAAGCTGTCTTTTTAAACTTATCAGGGATTTGCTGATAAAACATAAAAGCCCTTTTAAACTTCAGCAGTGAACTTGCAGCTGCGGCCCTCATGGGACGTTTTGGCTGCGGCTCTCGGTATTTACTGTTACAACAAACTGAACTCACTTCTGTTTTCCTTTTTTTCAGATCCAGAATGCTGATGACGTCTTGATCTCACCCCTTGAGAGGTTTCGGAAAGAGCAAATCGGAGCTGTTAAGGTACATCCACTGCTTTAAGAAGGGATGAAGGGATGCCAGTTGAACTAATTAGACTGGTTAACGATCAGAAGTTCACATATTTCAGATAAATGATAGATCACAGTCTAGAGTCAGTAACAAGGTCATGGGAACGGACGCTGGGAGAGAAGACAGTAGACTGAGCATGTCACAGACACAGAGATTGCTGAACACAGGCAGTAGAAACATAACGTCTGCTGTGTCTGCTTTTAGCAGCTGCTTCAAGTATTTTTAGCTACTTATCAAACTTTTCTTTGACTGTAAAGAGAACATTGTCTGACACAGGGAGTCAGCTTTGTTTTAAAAAGGAACCTGATCTGAAAGTAAAACCTCAGGTGGCTTTGGTGGATTGATTCAAGCAGCTCCACAGACTGCAGAATGTAACACAAATGTGTGAGCAGCTCATCTTCAGCTAGACGATAGCAGAGAAAATATCTGCACTGCAGCTGTTTGCTAATGGTTTTTGGCAGCGATTCCTTGTTTAGAATATTAATAGCATCTCTGCTTTGCCATAACTTTTAGTTCCGGGAAGCTACTTCCTTAATCTGATATAATACTCTTCTTAAGCATCCAGAAACTTTATTCAATACTCAGGTAATTTTTTGACCATTCTTGTGACTTATTAGATGTATTTCCATTGTTTTTTTACATTAATAGCCTTTACAGCCTCTCTAAATGTTTGATTATCCCTTCACTTTTCCGATGGTTAGACTAAAGCAGATCAACTTTCATGTTAAGTCAGTCTCTAAATGTAATCCACTTTTATTTCTAACACATTGGAGCCTTTTTTCTCCGAACATTTTGGCTCTTATGCGTTTGAAATGTGTTGAAATTGTTTCAACGTGTGCTTTATTGCATGGTATTTTTTTTAGCTTTTTATCATTAATATTCAGCAGAAAGGTCTCATGTCTTACACACTCTATAATTAGATGAGCTACAAATTCTATTTGAAATGTCTTTGACTTTGACCCTGCATCTGGGTCGTTTTAAATCAGTGTAACTGGTTTCCAAAAAAGCCCCCAAAACTCTTCAAATAACCCAGGTTTTAAAGCCTTCTAAGATTTTAGGTGCCTTTATTCTCTACATAACAGTTTAATTTGTTTGTGAAACGATTATAAATAAGATGAAAATATAAAGAAAAAAGCAGCTTTAAACCATGATGATCTATTTAATTCCTTTGATTGAATTCTATGCTAGATTTCACTTGTTATATTTGAGTATTTAAGACCATTGCATAGATGGAACCACCTTAAGTTGACTTTGTACATTTAAGGGCTTCATTTTCTGAAAACTGCATTATGAGAATAAACACATTTTAGTTATTCAGAAATTACAGCATCCAACTTCAGTGCTATGATTAAATGAGGCCTTTCTAAAAGATTAAAATTCTTTCATCTAAACCGTTTTCTTTTAGACCAAGCCATATGTTTAGGGTTTTTGTCTGTTAGAAGGTGAACAATCCCCCAGCATCCTCACAGCATGATACTCCCACCAACGTGTTTCATTGTGAAGTTGATGCAGTCAGGCCAATTTTCAGTATTTATTTTTCAACACACCATTATTTTGCAACTCCAGTTTTATCTTTTAATATTCAATAACAGGATGATGTTTTGTTGTGATGAATACTATTGTTAACGCCTCTTCATCGCTCAGGCATTTATTTTGTTTCCTTTCTCTGTTGTTTTGTAGTTTTTGTAACTTACATCCTTTCTGCTGCCCTGTTCTTGTTAGGAGGAGAAGAAGCAGTTTGATAAGGAGACAGAGCGGTATTACTCTGTGCTAGAAAAGTATCTCAGTGTGTCCTCCAGGAAGAAGGATTCCCAGCTACAAGAGGTAAATTCTTAAGATACTCTCAAGGCCACAACAAGCTCCTCAGGCACCTGTTCGGTTACATCAAGTTCTTAGTATTTGGTGTGCTTTTTTTATTTTTTACAGGCTGACTCACAGATGGACAAAGACAGGCAGATCTTTTACGATGCATCTCTGCAGTATGTTTTCAAGATCCAAGAAGTGCAGGAAAGAAAGAAGTTTGAGTTTGTGGAGCCAGTAAGATTATCTTTACAATTTTAATTTTGTGGTTTTATTTAAAGCCATACACACCCTTTTTATGTTTATAGTTTCCATTTTAAAATGAAGACAGGCCGGTTACACAGCGTTTCATGGCAGGAAAGTTGGAGTGATTAGACTTTTCCCGTGCTGTTTTTCTTTTTTACGCACGCAGACCGAGCCATTAACAAGTGTTTTTATGTAAACACACTGCCTGGAAAAACAAGTGAGCCATGAGCTCAGAAAAACGTTTTACACACTCAGCATGGCCATTGGTTTCAGTTTTTTAAATGATGGATATCAGTAAAGGACACTTCCTGTTGCTCCAGCAGGACTTCCTGTGATTAGATTTTTTTCCCAGCTGACAGAGAGCAAAAGCTGTTTGTTGTAAAATAAACAATGGCAGCAAAACAAATATAGAGCAATGCTTTACTCTGTAGAACCAGGTTTGATTACCCAGCAGCTGATTGAAAATCTGTCCTACTGTGATCACCTTTTACACTCCCAAGCCCAGAGCTAATGTTTCTACTGTGGATCTCTCCTTGTGCTTCTCAGTTATTAGCCTTCCTGCAGGGGTTGTTTACATTCTACCACGAGGGCTATGAGCTGGCCAATGAGTTTGAACCCTACAAGCAGCAGCTCCAGTTTAATCTGCAAAATGTAAGTACTTGTTTTCCCTAAACTGTAAGATTAAATCTGTGCCTCAGATTGCCCTGTTGGAAATAGCCTCTAGCATTTTGACTGCTAGAAAGGAGGTAAAAGTAAGGAGACTGAACTCTGATTAAACTTTAGATTCCTGATACTTCTAGCATCTTATTTTTAGCAAGATTATTTACTAATAAATAATATTAACTTTAAGAGTTAAGTCGTTAATGTTGGTGTTTTAAAAGCCAGTAAGCAGCTGTTGCTGCTTAAGGGCTGACTCTGCATCACTCGATATGTGAAAAATCAGCTGGCTAAACCAGGATGTCCTGATCTGGTTGGTTCAGTTTTTTGATCTAACCTTCTGATGATGTAATCTGAATAAATTAGCTGCATGGGATGTTTATGTCTATAAGTTTGTTTGTTTTTAAAGCAAAATCTATACAACTGCATCTCTTTTCTGTGGTCCACTAATTGTTTTAAAGGTTTATATGTATAATTTTTGACTTAGCATTTTTAGATCTAAATGTTAAAATGAGAACATTTATTTAGCCTTATTTCTAGATTCTTCTTTCAATGTTTTTTCTTTTTCAACAGTTTTATTCATTGATTCCATGTTCTGTTGGTCTGGTTGAGAAATCTAAAAGTACCTGCTGCTTTATTATGTGCACTTTGCTATTACTATATTAGTTTATTATTTGAGCTAATGTTGGCTTTCTTTAGTCAGCTGCCACACACGGAATAATTTCTTTCTTCAGATTTTTCTTTGTAAAGTTAGAAAAACAGTTCCTAAAAAAAAAAAAAGTCCCAGTGGATCAGTACTTTCTGAAATGCTGAGATGATCACAAATAACCAAGCCACCATCAAAGTCTGTAAAATTGTTCCTATTCTGAGCCCAGAATATCTTCTTCTAAATAATCTTACAAGACATTTGATTAAAGGGCTAAATGTTGTTAGAGGTGAGCATGGAATTTAGACATGCTTACTCCAAAGAGTTTAGTGGATATATTATACTCCCAAAACAAAAAAAGGGTTGTATGCTCCTCTATGTCACAGTTAAAAATTTCCCTTGTTAGTTGGAGCTTTGCTCACATTTACTTTCATTTTTGCGTAGGTGGAGCAATTGATTATTTCATTATTTATTAATTCTTTTATGCGATTTCCCTTTGGAAACGATTAAGTATTTTTGAATTGAATCTTGCAGTCACTTGCTGCAACAAAGCTCCATGATGCTGCATAGCAAAGAGTGCTACATTCTGCTCTGCTTTTGATCCTGCCCCTTAAACCAGATTTATTGTTGTTTACTGTTTTAAAGCTTTATGTGTCTTTTTAAAAGGTGTTGAAGTTGTTTAAGCTAATGGTAAAACTCAAACTTCAATACTAAATGAGGTTGAAATGGACTTTATTGCAGATTAAAAATTACCTTGCAGGCAAGATGAATTATCATGAGATTTCTAAACTACCAAAAATACATCTTGCTAGAAGCCAACAGATGCATTATCCTCAATACAGAAATGTTTCAGACCATTGAAATGCAGTGACGTGTATGACATCTGTGAATCAACCATTGGCAGAAAGGCTGAAGCAAAACAAACATGGCTGCGTCAGCTTTAGCTGGATTACCCTCTATTTCATTTTGAAAAACGAAAAAAAGGACATGATTTTTGCCTCTGTGAATGGGAAGATATTTACTCATTCCTCCCAACCAGATTTGTTAAGAGCTTATTAGTTAACTCCTCTAGTTTGAAACTAATCAAGCTACTATTACTGCTGTGACTGACTAAAAACTTGTCATGGGAGGCAGAAGAGTTGTACTAAATCTTTATTCCTTTTGATTAATACGTGTCGAATTCAAATTGAACCACACCTGTCAATCTGGTTTATGACAGGTTAAATTAACAGCATTAATCGGGCCTATGAGGTGCTTATTAATCTTACCATGCAATGTTTTGTTTTGTCTTGTTATCTGTGCAATATTTGTCTCAAAACCATCTTAGTGCTGCCACAAGTGGAGGAACAATGACTACTGCAGTTGAATTGTCCTCTTGGATGGCTTTTGTCATCATAGCCCTGGTTTAACTCACTCACACACTGGCCATCCTGTCCTCCACTGTCTAGTCACATGGGCTTCAGGCATCGCTAAGTTAGCACCTTGAAGCATGCAGCTCAAACTGAGCTGCATGGTGGTATTTTTCAAATATTGTTGGTAGACACTTAAAAAATTCCAAAATGTTACTTTTAAAACTTGCAGGAACATTTTACCTCTTTTTGTTGGAATTTAATCAACACAGAACAGATCAACTGATAATGATGAAGGTCCATAGTGTCGTACAAAACCAAACAATTTAATTCACATTATTTATTGAGCATGTTATTTAATTAAGCATGTTTCTAAGGTGTCCCCTATCTTTTCTTGTAAAGGCTCGCAACAACTTTGAAAGTACTCGTGTTGAAGTTGAGAGGCTAATGAAAAGGATCAGGTCTGCTGAGGATGACTTCAAAGCCCCCAGCTGCTTCACCATGGAGGGATTTCTCTACATACAAGAAAAACGTAAGCTACCCTCTAAAATACAGATCGGTAACATTTCTTTTTCCTTAAGAAAGAATAAATGCTGGTCATAAAAGTGTCAGATCTATGGATATAAAAATATGATAATGTGTGCAGGTCCATTGGGAAGCGTGTGGACCCGATACTACTGTACCTACGAGAGGAGCTCAAAGATGTTCTCCATGAGCAACACAGAGACCCGGCCAGCCAGCAGACAGGTGAGCTGCTGACGCCCTTAAACACTAATATCGGTGCTTTAAAACATCCTTAAACCCTCTATTTAAAGGCATTCACTGATCAGAATGGTGATGTAGATTTGCAGTTTTCGTTTTGTTTAGTTTTTTTAATTTAGCTTTCCTATACTATTCTAAGCTGGATCCGATTTATCTTTAAAAACTCTAATATAACCAGATTTTCTTTTTATGTTTAAGGTTTCTGATTAGTCGCCATTCGGAATTTGTGTAGGTGTGTGTTTGTGTGTGTTTTTACCAACCATAGACAAACGTTTTTAGAACCAAAGAGCAGGTAGTAGAGAGGCTGCAGAGACCCAAGGCAGAAAGTCACAGGGAACCCTGGCAGGTCACATGTCCTGTACAGGGGCAGGTCCACAGTGAAGCACAGGAGCATTAGTCCCCAGGCCAAAGAGACATAGGGATAATCACAAGGCCCCAACCCCCCAACTGAACCCTGCAACTACGTCCTCCACTGGAGACCAGTGACAGAGACAGACTTGAACCCAGCCGTCCCTGTCTTTGGGGCCTACACTGATTAGGAGATTCACACGGCCGACATAAGCCTGCCATGGGGGGCAAAACTTAGAACAGAGGGGTGGAGGGAACAGCGCCCTTCCAACTAGGGCTGGCTCACCATTGCAGCAATATGGCAGGTTTTATTGGGTAAAAGAAAACTCACTCTGCCCATCAGCCAGTTCGGCTTTACAGAGCAGCTGTTTGGGAATCCTTCTGGACCTGGACACTCCACCCCTGCCTTTAAGGATTGCACTCTGTCTGCTAACAGGGAGGAGCGCATTATTTAACCTACCTGCATGCGCCTCTGAGGGAGGATGGAGTCTGAAGGGGGAGGGGCTCCCGCTTTCATAGTGCTTTTCTTGTTACACCACCAGCTTAATTTCAATATCATATTGAAGCTTTGAGCATAACCAGCAGTTGAGCTGAAATGAAATGAGAAATCCAGGGGAGCCCAGACATCACTATGAAAAATTAGTGTTTTGGACAGATTTCATTGTAGCGTTTTCAGTTTAGCAGCCTGCTACGCTGAAATATGCTGGTGATAACCATTCATTTTTTAACACAGCCTTAATCCCCACCAGGTGAGGTAGCACCAGAGATAACAAGAGAAAGGGATGGCCAAGGGTATCAAGCTCAGTTTTCATGGCCTACAGGCTGCTAACATATTCCCTAAAACCAGCGACCCACAACCAGGAACCAACTGCATAGTTATCTAAGAAAGATCCAAGAAGGCTTTACTTTGTTATAAAATCCATTCACACTACCTTCCTTATATTTGTTGTGTTCTTCTCTCATTTTAACATTTAAAATAAATGTTCAAAAAGTACTAGAAAACACTTCTGTTTTTCAAAAACCAACATTTTAACACTCAGATTCTTTACATAATTGATTTCTTTCCCCTGAAAGTTTATTTTAGTCAGTAAAAAAACAGCGTTGATGCATGTGTGTCGCTGGTCTGTCTATCAGAATGGCGTGATGACTGGGGCCCCAGACATGTTCAGGCTGCGTTCATGTGTCCGAAGGAAGACCGAATCCATCGACAAACGCTTCTGCTTTGACATCGAGGTGGTGGAGAGGTGAGGGGACAGTCTGACTGAGAGTCTTTGTGTTTCTCCTGAATGATGCAACGGTTTATTTTTAGATTGAATAATTGGAGGTGTTGCTGCCTAGTTGAGCTTGGGTGTGACTTTCTTTTCATCCAGACATGGCGTCATTACTCTGCAAGCCCTGTCAGAGGCCAACAGACGGCTCTGGATGGAGGCAATGGATGGAAAAGAGCCTGTAAGAACACACCCACCTCTATAAAGAATATATCCCTGGGGGAAAATGACTGTTTTGGTACAAGAAAAAAGCTATTTATATTCATGTTCTCCTCTGTCTTTGCAGATTTATACTCTTCCCTCTCTGCTCAGTAAAAAAGAAGAGAGTAAGTATCAAGCTTGGGTCTGAAGATTCTCCTTAAACAAATTAATTTATTGTTAAAGATTTTTTCAGTCTGACATTGGCGTTTTTTTTTTTTATAGCATTTCTCAACGAAGCAGGATTCAACTTTGTTAAGAAGTGTGTTGAGCTGGTTGAATCAAGAGGTATTCACCAACCTAGAACATGTAACTTAAACAATATATTTACAGCATCTCTTGCCGATCCTTATGTATTAACTTATTTGCAGGCCTTACAACTCTTGGACTGTACAGGACGGGTGGAGTAAACTCCAAAGTGCAGCGCTTGATGGCCAGTGCATTTGGTATGTTATATATACATATACATATTGAAATCAGGGAGAGATTAACTTGGTTTTATAATAATACAATAGTGAATATAACACAAAAGTTTTCCTGCAGCTTCTACTGCATCTTCGGATATACAGCTGGATGCAGAAACTTGGGACAACAAGACAATAACCAGTGGCCTGAAAGATTATTTCCGGTAATTTATGAATATATGGCATCATTTCTTTATTTTTTTTAAGTAAATTGGCCCTTAAATTGTGAACTCTTATTCTCTCATCTATGTCCAGGTGTTTGGCAGAACCGTTACTGACCTATAGGCTGCATAAAGAATTCATCAGGGCTGCAAGTAAGATTTTCTTGATTTTATTGTAGGAAGCATTAGGTCATGCAAAAGTATTTATCCCAAAAGCCAACATCAATTATGTATAGCAAAACTACAAACCTACCAGGATTTGATCGCCCACATAAAACCACAAGGAGATAATTAATCAGAGATTAAAACAAGAATCTGGAGGAGCTGCAGATATCCTCAGCTTAGTGGAAGCACTTACAGTGTTTGCAGCAAAGATATGGAAGAAAGATCTCAGATCGTGTCAGATAATCAAAAGAATATTGGTTTATATTACCCTAATTATAACACAGGGTGGTGGTAGCAGCATCATGTGATAAGGCCTTCCTACATGAGGGACACTAAAGTAGTAAAAATGGGATTAGAAGATGGCGAAATCTCCAAATGAAATATGTCCCACAAAAGGCTATAGACGGAAGGAGGAGTCCACCCTCCTTCAGCCCTCTAAATACACACAATGCTTTATAATTTTATAATTTTTTTTAAATATATGAAGGTATTTTAACTTCCACTGAATAAAGTCATTATTTATGTTGGGCCTTTAAATAATAAATAAATAAACAGTGGTTTAAACATGACAGATTTAAGGGAGTTAATTACTTTACAGAATGATGTTTAAGAAGTTTCTAGACAGCATTTGTTGTTTTATGCGGTATATTCAGGGTTAAAGCACACCAAGCTCCAGCCTCCATGCTCTCTTCCTCTGTCACAGAGTACGACGACCAGACGTACAGAGTGAGAGCCATTCATGCTCTCGTACACAAACTGCCGGAAAAAAACAAAACCATGTTGGACATCTTAACCAATCACCTTCACAAGTATGTGCATGGATTCATGGTGTGATCATTGTTTGAAAGTTATTCAGTAAATTTCTATAGATGATTTTATACTTGTGAAATGTGTGTGTGGTGGTCTGTGCATGCAGGGTGTCCTCCCACAGCGATCAGAACATGATGACCGTGTCTAACCTTGGGATGATCTTTGGCCCCACGCTGATGAGGTCACAGGAGGAGACGGTGGCGGCCATGATGAACATCAAGTTTCAGAACATTGTGGTGGAGATCATCATTGAAAAGCACGACAAAGTGAGCTTTTAAGCTTCACACACATGTAAATGTGGAGCCCCGATCATTCATGTGAATTGCTTTTTGTTCCTTTCAGATTTTTGGTGAGACTCCGGACCTGTCGGTGCCGCTGCCTCAGGCTCCGACCTCTCGGTCGACTCCGAGGAGGAGCAAGGCCATCTGCCTGTCATCTGGAAAGAGAAAGGCCCTTCGGTACACTCCGGCTCTCTGCCTGGCAGACAATGACAGTGAGTCTGCCTATTGGTCACTGTTCTGTTTCATTTCTTATTAATAACATATCTCAGATTCTGAGGGATATGGCCTAAAAAAAAAAAAATCAGATTATTTTATTTTAAAATCGATTTATGATTTTTTTTCCCGATTTTTTTTTTTTTCCTCCCTAAGGACAGCAATAAGTACCAACAGGTCAACATGTCTTTAGCTATGCGTGGGGCACATCACTACCGCGCCGCGCTATTGGCAGCCGTGCTTCTGTTAACACCTAGCTTGTTGGCTATCTAGACCAGGAACCTTTTCTGACCGCTTTAAAATTTGCCTTTAATACACAACCCCATTTCTTCTAATGCAACCTTATCTAAGCTCGTTCATATAATGCCCCCAGCTCCAATCTCCTATCTTCCCACTGAACTTGTGTTTGGGTAGTAATGCGTCCTGATAAGCGCCAAAAAACGCGTCATCATAGCAGAGTTATTGCTGGTGTTTCTATGAAACTCATGTTGACATGTTTATTCCCCCCCTTCTGAAAAGAAAAAAATAATCCCCGACCGCAGTTGCCGCACACTGGAAATCTGCAACTACTCTGGAAAACTTAAAGTCCTGCAATTCCAAACAACAGATGATTTTATTCCTTTATTGAGAACAAACGTCTCACTCACCTGTAGTCTTTATGTCGTTTGCTGTTTCATGTGACGCTGTTACTTGCCAAATTGCAACCTGAGAGCAATGCTGCAGCTACAGAATCTCCAGGAAGCCAAAAATGTGCAATTATAAAAAATAGATTTTTTAATTAATTGCCTGCAACAAAAAATTTGAATTAATTAATTGAATCGATTTTTTACCCAGGCCTACTCGGTAGGATAAGTGTTTTATTGAGCTTGAATTAATGTCTCTTAAATGCAGCCATGTTTCAGATTGTGTTCCAAATACGGACAGACTGCATTCAGTCAGGAGCCATTCCTCCAGACTGTAGAGATGAGACCAGAGCACCACATCCTGCTCTTTTAATTATAGTATTACATCATTCAGAGTAAAGCAGAAACAACATAACCACTTTTCTCCTCTTAGTTAATTTAAGCTGCAAAAAAATAAAAAAATTGCTGAATTTTTATAGCCATATCAGAATAAAGATGATTTTAGCCTAGCATCTCAGCTAACATTATCAGCAGGTTTACTGAAGAATTTATAGTTGGATGTATAGGGTCACATCACCCTCTAACCGGGACTTTTTCCTCAATGTTTTTATTTGGTGTATGGTTAGTAATTCGTTAGAACATGCTTGGAATTGGGCCCTATAATCCATATCAGCCAGGCAGTAGATGAGCTCTCTGTTCTGGAGATCTTCCTCTGTTGGTTTTTGAAGGGATGTTTCCTTTTATTTTCCAGGTGATACATTCAGCAGCAGCCCTGATACAACTCCGATGGGCAGCCAGGAGTCGTTGTCCTCCCACTCCTCTGAAAAGAATGGGTTGTCTCAGACCTCAACTCCTTCTTCTCCCACCGCTGAGCCCGGCTCACCATCCGCAGCGCAGTTTTCTCCTCCTTCGGCTTCCTCCAGCTCACCACCAAACAATTCCCCCAATGGAAAAGATCAGAAAGAGCCACCAGACGGCGGCCCCTCCCCCCACCTCACGCCTTCCTCTTCCTGGACCTCCGCTCCACTCTCCTTAGCTGAGCAGACTTCCTCTGTGTCCTCCTCCACATCCTCTTTGCTCTCCGCAGTGGAGAGGTCTTTCAACAGAAACTCAACCGCTTCTTTGTCTTCTACCAAAGACTCCGGATCTGCGTCCACAACGTCAGTCCAGCCCTCATCAGGGGACCGTTCCTCTTCTGTCAGGGAGGGTAGACCTCTTCAGAAAGCAGCCTCCATCTCCTCCCTGAAGAGCACTCGTTCAGCAGAGCAAAGAAACTCCTCCTGTGCTACAGTCACAGAAGTCAGAGGAACCAACTCTACCTCTCCTCCTATACATAGCACTGCCTCCTCCTCCTCTTCTTCCTCCTCTTCTCTATTTCCCTACCGGCTTTCCACCTCATCCTCGCTCACATCCCTTCACATTTCAGAAGGTGTGTAAAAAGCTTTTTTTTCCCCCTCTAAAATAATTAAAAGTCAGACATTTTAACTCTCTCCCACCCTGTTTCTGACATGATTGAAGATTACAAAAGCTGCCATGGATCAGTGCAGAGCCTCGTGTCGCTGGACCGACAGGAGAGATTAAAAACGCGTAAAGGACACAACCGCTGCGGCTCCGACCTCACCCCAAAGCACTCTGCAGCCGCATCCAGCAACGGCTACTCCAGGCCTGCCTCATTGTGAGTGTCACTGAAACCTGTCATTTATTTTAAACAAAAGGATTTTTAAAATAAAACTCCCAAGATATTTCACATGATTGTGATTAGGAAATTACAACTAATGTCGATTATGTGTGGTTTGAGACGGAACATCTCAGTTGTTGGTGTTTAGAACCACATTTCAGTGCAGTTAAAGCATTATGTTTTGCTTGTGATGCAGGTTATCAACCAGGAAGCCTCAGCGTGAGAGTTCAGTGTTCTCCTCAGCGTTAGACATTTGTCCCTCAGGAAGGTATGATAACTTTGATGATGCTGTTGCCTGGTAACGTACATTTAGATAAATTCATTTGTAGTTACTTCACTTTGTGACTCCCTTATCAACTTTTCCTTGCAGGGAAGCAAAAGCGATGTACTCCTGTGAGGCAGAGCACAGCCATGAATTAAGTTTTCCACAGGGGGCGCTGTTCACAAATGGTAAGGTTTATGAGAGCAAATATTTACTTTATCAGGATGGGAAAATATCTGTTCATTGATTTGTTTTTTGTTGTTGTTAGAAAATTCATATATTTTATCATTTCAAATGGGCATGTTTAGACTAAAGTTTAGATTTCTTCTACTTTTTTATGCATGTCTCACAATTGTTTATGACCAGCTGTTTAATCCGAATCCAGAATTGGTTTTAAAGGTCATAGCTACTAATTTGCTTAAAAAATATTTCTTTTAAAAATAACTGTTTTATAATACTGATTTATATGCTATACATTTTATCTTTGTAAGTGAAATTTATACTTTCAGAGTGGTGCAGATTAAAAATATGAATTTCATTTACAAAGATTAAAAATATAGGATATAACTTATTGCTTTATACATTTTTGAGGGGTCTAAAACACATAAATATTTACCTCTGGTTATGAATACAATGTCAGTGTAAAATAATTGTGCAGCAATAGTATTAGCAGGGGGAAGTCACGTGAGATCAGAGAACCTTATAGCTTTGCAATAGAGCTGAGAATGAGTCAAAATTCTGAGATTCCAACCAAAATAATAAAAGAATAAATAAAGGGGTAGATTAGTCAAAGTTTTGAGCATTGGTTATAACTTAAGGTATGAAAACAGCTTAGAAAAAGCAAAGTTTTCCTACTTTCTTCTGGACGTGCAAGTTAAATTTGCAGACCTGGCAAACAGTACAAATGAAGGAAAAGAGCGGACGAATATGCCACCTACTGGCCAAGAGGAGGTGCTATTGCATTCAATATCAGGTGTAAAACTCTTTTGCTTTATTAAATGAAACATTAAGATCATCCAATTCAATTAAGTTTATTTATATAGCGCCAATTCAAAACACATGTCATCTCAAGGCCCTTTACAATTCAACAAGATCATACAGTCAAATTGATTTAAAGTTTTTCTATCCAAAGAAAACCAGCTGATTGCATTGACTATTGACTCAAAGGCAATCCCTCACACAGTGGAGAGGGAAAACTCCCTTCACCATAGACCATATAAGTTATTTATTTATTTCCTGTCAATTGATTACCTGTTTTTAGTTAAGTCTTAAAGCTATTTGTACCATTTGCATCTCATATCTAGAATAGATAGAAAAAAGATAAATTAGATCAGCCTTGCTAAGCTCCATTTATTCTTTCTGTAATGTCCTTCAAGTAATTTCTCTCACTAAATCAAACATTGATTTAATTACCACAGACAGCATGTTGTGCGAAACAGTTTCAAATTGCTTCTTACATCTTCTAATCTCCTTACCAGATTTAACAACTTTGAAACAAATGAGTGTTATTATGTTAAAGTGTCAGCAGATCATTGCTAAATAGCGCTTCTCCGACGTGGGAACATGTTTTCACTAAAACAGAAAATTAGCTCTCTGTGCTTCGCTGTAATTTGGGTTATAAAAGTCGTGATGTTTTTTTTGTTTTGTTTTGTTTTCTTCCTGCAGTGGGTCCATCTGTGGAACCAGGTTGGCTGCAGGCGACATATAAGGGCAGAACCGGCCTCATACCCGAAAATTACATCCAATATATCTGACAAACCTGATGAACTGTCTGCGCATGAGAAAATCACAAGAGTCTGACTGAAATTTTAAGGGTTGTTTAATAAGAATCCAAAACACACAATACTGTAACTGTGACTGTTATCACTGACTACTGTGCCACAATATGAGCAATGGGGCTACTGTAAACAGTGCAGTAGATGTTGATACTTGACGTGTAAGGCTTAGCTTCTCAGTACTTATCACCATTTTTAATTTTTGTTTAGCAGACTCTGAAATGTTATGTATCCAGTAAAAATATGTAAAAGGTACATAGAAGTGTTATTTTTCTATTAATCTTTATAATTTATGTTTTAATGTTTCAGTAGTTGGTCTAGAAATCCAATGTTCATACCTCAGTGCCTTAAACTGTATGAACTTTTTTTCTTATACCCTATGTGTCAGATTATCTGCTGTCTAAAATAAACAAATTAAAACAATATTCTGCATGTGTGGATTCTGCCTTTTTCATTTGCCGCTTATTATTTATGTAATTTTATAGCTCCAATTCTTACTGTCACAAAGCTTTATATTTTAGACTGTATTTTTGAAACTTTTGAACAAAATAGATTTAAAAAAGCAACTCTTAGATGCATCAACAAACTGATGTAATCTTAAGGGAAAACATTTACAAAATAAAGTTTTAAAAGATACCAGAATGATCAGAGTAATTTCCTTTTAAAAGTGAGCGCAGCTTTGTTTAAAAGGTGGGATTAAAACAGAAAACCTGAAAAAATGATTGTCAATTTTGGTTCCACATATAACCTAACATATACATAAGTCCAAATGTATTCATACGCCTGAAACCATTTGTAAGCATACAGTTTTTATTTTGTTCCTTGTTAAATAGTTGGAAAAATAGATGATTTATAATTTTATACTTTTTTACAAATGGCATTTTAAAAGGTAATCATATAGCTACAAAATCAGCTTTATTAGACCCTTTAAATGTGTGATTCCAATAAAAGCATCAACAACAAAAAGTATTGACAGATAATGTTGGGAAATTTTTAAAGGCAAATTGATGTTTTTTAACTCCTATATGCACATATTACAAAAAGCATTTATTTTAGCTTTGCATCCACAGCATACATTTTCTCCATATTAAAACAGTTTATCTGCTGTTCGTTTTAGCAGTCGTCAATAGACAGCGCTAAGATCACATTGTATTAAAATCTCCCAGCCTCCTCAAAAGACCATCCAGTGTCTCCATGTTATGGGATTTCTCCTCCAGCAGCTCATATCGCAGACTTGAAATATCCTGTTTAATCTCCTTCAGCTCACCTGGACCAGATCAGAGGCAATAATAAGGAAATGTAAAACAGGAAATGAGACCAAAAAAATAAATAAATAAACAGGGGTCGACATTTACAGACATCTGTTGCTGGGCAGAGTGCTGTAGTGATTACACTATAATACTACAAACCAGTTCAAGTATTTTTTTTGCCACAAAACCAAATTATAATGATTTAAAGACAGAGTTCAGTTTATATTACCTTCTGTGATCTCGTCGCTTTCTCTGTCTGCTTGAGCTTTAATTATATAACGCTTGATTAGACGCTTCATGATCTTCTGCATCCAGTGAAGAAAAAAAGGTGGGATAAAAGCAATACAATATTAATGTACAAAAGCAATTGTAGCATAATATAGTATTAAAACTCTCAGCTATCCAACAGGAGGAACATCATAGTTACTTTTACTCATACCTGATATCTTGTTGGACCATTAGATCCCCCATATCCTGGTTCTTTGCTCTTTCCCAGCTAAAATAATAAACAAATGGCTGTTAAATGAAGTCCACAGTGCTACTTTATTGCCACAAGAGGGCGCAAATTACTACATTTTTTCTTAATAAAAACCAAATTAAAAAATATTCTGGTACAATATATCATGAAAGAATGAAAGAAGGTTGAATATAATTGCAAAGAAGTTGGATATGGTATGAACTTTTTCTAAAATTTTAAAAATGTGGATAGCAAATATATTCAACTCCTTGCATTGTGATACTGGAGTATTTTAGTGAGGGTTTTATTCATATTAGGAGGAATCTACTTACTTGATTAAGCTCTATCTCAGCTTTCTTCTTATTGAGTCTGTGAACCACATATAAGAGCATGGACTTTATGGCTGTGACCAATCCCAGCATAGATTTGGGACTGGGGACCAGATTGAAGGGAACAGGGAGTGTCCTTCCCTCCTCGAAGTACGAAAACCAAAGTTTTGCCCGAGCAAACTTCCATTCAACATCAGCATCGTCCTAATGAGGTGTCAGAAGAGAAAAAAATTAATAAAAAAAAAAAATGTTAGAATAGTAAATAAATGCTTTTTTTTTTAAAGAACAGAGTTTTTTTAAATCTGTAATTATATGAAAATAAAGATAAAATATGCTCAGCTGAATTTCCCATCTGTTGCAGTAGTGATTAGTGTGTTTAGATAAGTGCATGAAAACAGGAAGATCTAGAAGCAATACCTCCATAAGACTTTACTTTTGAGTAACTTTACAGCATACTGTAGGACACCTTAATATAAAGTTGTTGCTTAGAGGATATTTAGATGAGAAATAAAACAGCATTTTATTGCAATTAGGCACAAATTTCTCGATAGCAAGATCAGAAAACCCATAGCAGTAAAACATGGCCTAGATAAAGAGCATCTTGAACTTATTTATATTCTTTCACAATTCAACATAATTATGTGATGTTGTAAGTGTTACCTTATTTTAAAAAAGGAAATATGTCTTTATAAAAATCTGGTTAATCCTCATTTTCTACAAGGATAATCTCAATTTCAAAAATAGACGTGTTCTGAGTTCAACTCCCACAGACTGCCTCTCTGGCTCTCTGAGTAAGAACCTTAACCCCAGACTGCTCCCTGGGCCCCCAACCAAATTAAAAGTAATTGTGACAGAATGGAGCTAACTCAGCATTGAATTATAGCTGTCTAAGCATTGAGGAGAGTGGTGGCCTAGTGGTTTGGGCATAGAGCTTGGAATCCTGAGGTTTTGAGTTTGAGCCCCACTCCCACAGACTGCCCTTAACCCAACACTGCTCCCCAATGGCAGCCCACTGCTCACCATGGGGATGGGTTAAATGTAGAGGTAAATCCCTCGAATGTGAGGTCAACAAAGTTCATTTATTATTATTATTATTAGACTGCTTAGGAAGTTTTCAACTGCTTTTGTTAAAAATATATGAGATGGAAGAAGTAACTGTACATGGATCTATACATATTTTGCAATGGTTGTGTCACCTGAGGACTGTGGGTAATAACTGTATGGATGAAGATGTGTGTAGGCACCTGTGTATGCTTCTATTTTGTAAAAATATATATAATAATTAATGGATTTGCTAACTTAAGGTATTTTGGAGTATTGTGGACAAAGATCCAGGATATGGGAGAGAGCCTTCACACAGCGTGGTGATGCCACCACCATGATTTTTGGTGGGGATGGTGTTTGAAGTTGCAGTCCTGTGGTGGAATCAATCATCTGTTATGGTGTTGCATTTTGGATCAACTGCTTATCTACATCTGAGATGAAACGATTGGATAGCCTCAATATGAAGGCCAGCTCTCTGTTAGAATTCCTCTCTAGAGGTGGTGGGAGACCAAAGGACTGTTAGACAGCATCTCCAACCTCCATCCTCCATACATGAAGCTGCTGCAGAGCTGGGGATCTCTTTCAGTGACAGACTGCTACATCCTAGATGCATCCACAGATCTTTTCCTGCAGCTGCTTTTAGATTTTTTACTGCTCCCAACAAAACCAATAAGTGCTTAAAGTGACGTTAGTATTTACACAGGTTTTTGATCTAAACAAGAATTAGTTGCACTGTTTCTAATCCACTTAATGTGTGTTTTACCAATGGTAAGTAGCAGAGATGGTAATGACTGTTTGCTCAGTTTTTCTACTCGCTCTGGTGGCCTATTTTATTCAGCAATAGTGTTTTTACTCATTTTATTTCTGCAGCTATGATGTTTCTCACAGCCTTATATTTTTTATAGAAACCAGCTTGTATGTGAACATTTCTAATTTGAACCAAAGCATTTTTGTATCAACTCGGCCCCATATATGCACTTTTTTGATATGTGCTTTTTCCGCTTCTACTGTTCATCTTAACTTAATTCCGTATTTTGTGCACCCGGAAGCTTTTTTGTCAACTTGGTTTTTTTTAAGTTTCCAACTGTCACATCCAAATTTTCTCACACAAAAAAAATCAGGCAGGATTTCTCTCAGTAAGCCAGCTAAACAACTGTTATAATGAAGATAAAATAAATAAATAAAAGTCCACTTTACATGAGGGAGCAATAAAGTAATTAGTGGGACTGCGACTCCCATCTATAGGCTCGATCTTGGACCAAGTGGTGACATATTACTGCAGTGACGTACCTCAATCTCCTGGAAGGAGCTGTTAATCATAGCGATGAGCATGTTGAGCAGCACTATCACCATGGTAACGTTGTAAACCCCGTACAGAACGTAACCAATGTTCTCTATGAATTTGTGTCCATTGTTAATCACTACAGACTTGACCTCTGATAGTCCAAATATAGCCCAGAACAAAGTCTTGAAGCTCTCCTCCAGGCTAAAAAAGAAAAAAAAAAAAACAGAAAGAAGGACAAGAGGACAGTTTTAATTCAAGCAAGTTAATACATATCCAGGAAAAAAATGGAAAACTTCCTTTTTTTAATCAATTTTAATATCTAAACATAGCACCAGTCTTAAATAGAAGAGAGAATTTAGAGATTCCTAAATCGTATAGATTCCTACAATGTTTAAAACAAGGATTCAAATGTTATTGTTTTAAATACAAATATGTATTTAAAATAAGAGAGAAGCCTCACGAAAAATATCGTACTTAAGACATTTTAAGAGAAGGACAAAAATAGTGAGAGATTAAATAAGAAGGATGCTGATAGATAAAGATAATTTACTAATGATGGGCAAAGAGATACAGGGATATACTCTATAAAGAGAGAGAGATAAATAATAGTGAAATTGGGAGGTGATTTGGGATTTATTTTTAGAAGAAGAGGTGTAACAAGAAGAGATAGAAGAATAGATGTAAAAAACTAAAGACAAAGGAAGATTCAGTTAAAAAAGCTAGTGAGAGAGAGAGAAGTAAGAATTAGATAAATACAAACAGACAGAGAGAGAGAAAAAATACTACGATGGATGAAAGATAAAGAACATATATAGAGAGAAAGACATATAGACAGAGAAACTGATATGGAAAAAATGCAGAGACGGCTAATGAACTGATAGAGGATAGATATAGAAAAAAATGAGGTAGATACAGATGGATAAGCAATAGTGAGGTAAGTATGGCGAAAGAGAGAAAAGAGAGAAAGATATATGACGATGAAGTGAGACAGAGAAATTGAGATTAAGGCAGAGGTAAAGAGATCATTTTAGCTGGTTTATAATAATTTACAGTATTAATTTACTGCATGAGGTTTGAGTGAATTGAGCGAGCTGCAAACACTGATCTACAAATAAATAAAACTCCCTGAAAAGACATATATTTCTACCTAATTTTAGCCAGTACATAAGATAATCTGCCAAAGGAATTAGTATTTCTGCTCTTAAACTAAGATATTTAGATGTTATGCACTCAAAATAAATCCTGGAGATGTTTATAAAGCATAATTTTTTTATTATTGAATCGCCTTACCTGCATATTTTCAGTTTTTGCAGTAAGCAAATTGTGTTTTGAAATTGACAGTTTTCTGTTATTTCTAGTTGTTCTTATGAATCAACGAAGATGATTAAGTCATGCTATGGTTCAGGGAGGAAAAGCTTTTGATAAGAACCCAAATTTTTATCTCAACCTATTTTTGCAATGATGAATGCCAGATACACCACATTATTCTGCAAGAAGTCTATTAATTAATCTAAATTGTTTTGTTTTCTACAATTAATAACCACATTAGGTGGGTGCTCTCAAATACCAGTAATAGGTGTGGTGTAGAGGATTGCTGAAGAGTCAGTGAGTCGATCAGCTGGTTTTCCTTAGATAGGAAACTTTGAATCAATCTGACTGTATGAACTGGTTGATCTGTATCTCTAAAGTGCCTTGAGATGTGTCGTGAATTGGCTCTGTATAAATAAACTGAATTTATAAACTTTTCATGGACTAAACAGATTAATCATCTCTCTGTAAAAGTTTAAAGAAGCTGTCAATCCTGAAAACTGAATCATAGTTTTGTTGTGTGTTCTCCTGGTACAGTATGCCTAAAACAAACATTAAAAAAAGAACATTAACCAAACTTAGTTATTATTTTAGTTTTTTTTTAATCTTGCTTTTCTCAATTATCCCTATTTTAGCCTGCTTCTTTAATAGAAAAAGGCAATTTTTTGTGACAATGATGCAAATGCAGGAGAACTAGATACGAATGTCTTACGTAGTGAAGGCGTCATTCTGCTTCGCTCCCAGGTAGTAAGAGTACAGGTTGAACATGCCGATCATGAACGCCAAGAAGACTAGCAGGAAGATGACCATGAACTTGAAGATGTCTTTGACAGTCCTTCCCAAAGAGATCTGGAGTGGACCAAAGCTCTCGTTGGCTGGCAGGATGTAAGCAATCCGAGAGAAGCTCAGCACCACAGCGATGGCATAGAGGCCCTCTGACACCAGCTGAGGATCTGAGGGCAGCCAGTCGATACGTGCTGCAAACAAAAACATAAATCACCCATTAAACATCCAACATAACTCCTGCTAATAAACATGCAATCGGTTTTAGGGGGGGTATAGCAAGTGCATGGTGATTTGACTGTGGCCACAATAAAAGTAAGTTTTGCTTTTTGACACCTAAGGTGAAAAATAAATAAAAGAAAGGGAGTTGAGCAAAATTTGAATCAAATTTATGTTTAACAAAAGGAGAGGAGAGAGTTATCCGTTCATCTGATGTATTTCACTTATCAAAGTTTGGGTTGTAGGTTTAGTAAGCCTGGGATGAAAACCTTCACATCCTGCAACTCAGCAACTCTGCCTCTTCCTTGGGTTTAGCATGAAGCATTCCCAGGCCAGAGTAAATAATGAATCCTTGCAGTTTATTCCCCATCAGCCTTGGTGGGCTGGTGTCCGGCTACTTTTTAGTTCAAATACCTGAATTAAAGCTCCAGTTTGTAATAATTACAGGATTCCCTGACAGAAATTTAATATATTATACATAAGTATGTAAATTATTATCATTTATGAATTGAAAATCACAAGATTTATGTTCTTCTTGCCTTAGAAATAGCTATTTCTTTGCAGCAGTAAGAGCTGACAAACTAGTGACTGTAGATAACACTAGGATGGGAATTTTGCAAGTTAGACCTCCTGTATGTATAATCTATATCTACATAAAACAAACACTTAAACATGTTATACAGTCATTTGTAGAGACACCATCTGATATAATTTCTATTAAATGTGTTTGGGCATGTTTCTCTTCCATATTTGCTGCCAAATAGTTGTACTTTTTATTAGTTCCTCATTGTAAAAACCTCCCAGGCTCAGTCAGACTGGATATATCATCCTTATTTTTCTTATTTATTTTTATCTACTTAATTGGATTTAAGTAAGGATTTCAAGTTGGCCATTTTAACACCAGATTATGCTTTAATCAAGATTAATCTGTTGTTGCCCTGGTTTAAAAGCAACAGTGTAACTTTTAGTCACTTGACTTGTAACTTTCAGATTTAGCCACCCTGAATTTCACTCTATTGTCTTTTTTTTTCCTTTTACTAAAAGCATCTTCCCCACCCATAGGAAAGAACAGCATCCCCACAGCATGATCCAGCCTCCACATTGTATCGACATGAGGAGAGTGTGTTCATGGAGATCTGCTACAATCAGTGTTGTGCATCCAAATGAAACATTTATTCTGGTCTCAACTAACCAGACAGGCCTCTTTCATCTGAAAACATGTGGGAAAATTATATGAATATTGTTCAAAGCTCTATAGGATAATCTTTGATTTTATCTCTTCAAATCAAATTTTCCAAAAACTGAAGTAAAAAAGGTAATTTAAATTCAAGTATTCAGAATCAAGTTGTTATACAAGATGCGCACTCATTTTTGATTTATATAGTAAAATTGTAACCATAGGTATATGGTAAGTTAAAACCTCATGCTTGGGTGTCTGTTTACCCAGAATGAAGTAGCATTTCTCTCGGCTCAGTTGGTCCAGTGTTTTGTTATGTTTGTACACATAGGCCTGGGCCCAGTCAGCTTGCTTCTTAGCAGAGAAACGGCAGCTGAAGGACGCCAGAAAAATGGCCAACATCCCAAAGTCCAAGAAGTTCCATGGTTCAACCAGGTACTCTCCGGGTCCCTGGCTCCAGATTTCCTTCACTTCAGCCCAAATCATGCCTGCAGGAACACAGATCAATAATCACATTCTTCTTTTAACAGTTGTTTACATACAGACTTATCTTTTGCTCACCAATGACCCATGAAATGATTAGGATCTCCATCCACGTAAAGGGGGTGGTGGTTGTGCGGTGAAGTACTGGGGGGTCCAGCTTTAGCTGTGAACTTCCAGGTTGCTGATGGTGGGTCATGTTTGGCAACAGGGTGGTTCCTGCAAAACGGTCAGCAGCATTCAGGATGAGCAGACCCAGGAAAATTGTAAAGGATGAGGCGTGGGCAACAAACTTCATAAAGGGGCTGCGCATAACTTTTCCCACCTGAAAATGAAATAAAAAGGATGAGAGATCCTATTTTGTGTTGTAATCAACCATAACATATATGTGCATTAACAAGTTAATGTGGGACAAAGTCTGTGCGCTCAGTACCCTGCTGCAAGGAGTGACCCAATACGCCACAGCCAGTCCAGGCAGTCCTATAGCCACAGCAAGAACCACCAGCAGCTTAATCGCAGTAGTTTGTTGTCTCAGCCCAGGAATGTTCTCGTACCAAATGCTCAGCAGCTGCTGCTGACAGTTTGGATGGGCAACAAACTGGAGGAAACCAAAGCTGGGTTAAAATAACTTAAGAAAAAACAGATCAGTTTGTTCATATACAACCAATTCATAATAAATGTCAATTTAGATTATGATGCAGTTCATTTAAATATAATAATTAACAGCTCTGTCCTATTTCAGCTTAAATCAGAAAAACATTCTTCCAAAGACAACCTAACAAACATTCCAGTTTAATACAAACTATACTTTCTGTTGATTATTTGATTACAGTTGATCAAAAGTCTTTTCTTCTGCAAGAAAGGTGTAATTTATTCAATAACCAATTATTTTGTCTGTTAAAAAGCCAAAGAGCTAATATTAAAAGCAAAAGAAAACAAAAATCACAGTTACATTTTATTTTGGTATGTTGTTTGTTTAAATCTACCACATAAATAAATGTATATGCATACATACATACTAATCACCTATTTATAGATAAATACTTTCTCTTAAATAAAATCATTAACCATATCCATGGGTGCACACATCCAAAAAAAAAAGTAACAGTTCATAAATCACTGCAGAGATGATATATTTTGTTTGTTTGAATCTCTAGAATTCAGAAATGTCTGTTAAATGTCTATTTAGAAGTTAAACACAGGTCCCAAACATACAGCTTCCACATCATTTAAGATGGATTTACCCAAAGGAGGATGTTGTGCTTTCAATTAATGATTTAAAATGTGAAAGGACTTTTGGGAACCATGACACTTTCCCCTCGTCCTTCAGGCTAAAGACGAGGGAAACCAGCCAGTAAGTTTTCAGTTCAAACTAACAGCATCCATGGAGGAGAAAACAGTCTAGCAGTCAGTGATAGATTTTAAATAAAAATTAAACTCTTTACCAAAACATTTGTTTTATATACAGTCTGATAGGATCAAATTTACACAACATAGAGTCCAGTCTGTGAAGCTATTAAACATGTGAGTTTGTGCATCTTTCTAACCATCAAACTACACACCAAGGCGGATCTTTACCCGAAATCTACTCCACAGAATTAAATATGTTTAATCTGACAAAGTCTACACTAATTCAACAGTTGGCTACAGGTACTTAAAGGAAAACCTGTCTGTATTAATCCGTATTTAGATAAATTCTCAAAAGCCAGGGCAGGCTGCACCACAGGGGTTGTGTGGAAAAACATTGTTATATTTTTAAAAATATTATAGAGGAGTAAAATGTGGGAAAACGATGCAAAATACGTTGAAGCAGCTTCAGTCTGTTGGATTTTATGTGGAAGTTATGATTTGCGTTTGTTAAAAAACAAAGAGATTGGACCACTGAGTGAATTTCCCAGAATGATGGATTCTGATTGCATCAACCTTTAGCCCTCTAGTCGCCTAAATGGAAACTTTAAATGACCAAAATAAAAAATAACAAACTAGAAATCTGTGAGCAAAACTCTTTTAAATAGTGGAGTGTTTTACAGTCTTGCTTATTGCTGTCTTTTTTTTTTTTATTTAAGAACTTGTTTATTTACCTTTTTGAGTTCGTATTTGATTGCTAATTTGAGCCGGGTCAGTGAGGGGCGACCAGGTAAATCAAAGCTTTCATCAGAAGCTGTTTCTCCGTTCAGGATGGCCTCCACTTCCTCTGTGCTCCGACAAAGGTCCAGAAGGCCCACCACGTAATCTTTACACTGGTTAGACAGGCGACTGTAATCGTTCTGCAAAGATAAAGAAGAAGCATGAGCAACAAGTGGTTTCATGTAGTTTTAATAAACGTTGGTAGGAATTAAAATGGACACCATTCAAATGTGATATTTAAACCATCTTTGTCATTCAGAGTGTCACAAATATTGCACCCCCATTTTTTTGTATAAAAACATTTCTTTTTGTATGTGAGCATGTTAATGTGTATATAAGGGTTCACTTTACATAGTAGAATGTAAATGTGTAAATGTAAATGTGACAATAAAATTTAAATCATCTCAGTTTTTTTGTTGGTCACTAAAAAAAACATTTTGTTTTATTCCAGTTCAAAAAAAACCTACAAATGACCTCATAAGTGTAATTATTTCAGTAGGTGCATTTAACAAAAATGTTTAAGTAATCTAATGCTCTATGAAAAAATAATATTCTACCCTACAGAATACTTATACACAAATGTCATAAGTATGGCCTTCAAAAGAAAAAAAACTGGGGTCCCAAAACTCAACCTTGTACAACTCCACATTTAATGTGAATTTTGAAACTTTATTCTTATCCTTTATAAACCTTTATAAATGTTTAATTGTAATAAACACCAGTGGATTTTCATAGTGAATATAGCAAATGAATCATATCTTCTTGTAAATGTTCTTGTTTTCAGGAAACAAACCACATTTCAAGCAACTGAAACCTGTGAGAGCAGACAACAGCTGCCAGAAAACAAATCAACTCAGGCAACATGTTCGGTTACTCTGACCTTAAATTCTTTCTCTATATCAGCTAGCATGGCCAGCTCATTGCTGAGCTCCAATGCTGCCAGCACCGGATCCTCGTTAGAGAGAGAGAGGTACGCAGGACTGGCCAGTCCTCTGTATGCATTGATCCTGGAGCGTGAGTGGCTGAAGGAATCGTACTGCTGCTGATAGTTACACGAGTCGCAGCCACAGAAGTAATCATGAGGAGGATCGATGCGGGCCCCTTTGCTCAGGAGCGTGTAAACTATCTCATATTCCTGGCAGTGAGCTGCAAGAATCACTGGAGTCACATCATGAGAAAACCTGTGAGGATAAACAAAGAAAAAAAATATTTTCCCATTGCTGTACTATAGCTTTAACTTTGGAACGTTACCCTGAGCAACAATAATGAAATCAGTAAGAAATCCTTTCAGTAAAACTTTGGCAGTTTTAGCTAATTTTATGAAAGAAGGATATTACATCTTTTAAAGCTCATTAACTCAGTTCGGTTTAGCAAGGATCTAAGGTAGGGGTCAAAAAGCATCACTAAAAATCTAAAATAAACTTTTAATGGCTGCCAAACTGCAAATTTTGCCATTGATTTCTAGTCTACAACAAGTCAGCCTTAGCTTGATCACCTTATTATACAGTAGATGTAAATAAACCATTAGAACAAATTGTTTTATTTTATGGGACAAACATTACACCGGAAAAAATCAGATTTTTCCATCCTTTAATTCAAATAAATTTCATCAGGGAAAAAACAATGTTGAAATCATTTTTCACAGAATATTCCGTTCCATCCAAGAAAGTTTAAAAGGTGGGACGCTCAAAGATAAGATGACATTAATTGGTAAAGTTCTTGAAGAGAAAAAGCCCCGTAGCATCATAGAATCTACACCATGCGCTATAAAATGGGAATTTAGAGCTTTTTCTCACATTCCGAGTGAGATCATTTTTCCATTTTTCTTGCACACCTCCCAAACCACTGATTGGCTGTAAAAGTTCACTTTTCTCAAATCTATAATTAGACAGATTTCTCTTCTATTTGCGTTATCTGTGATAATTTGCACTTTCTCTAAAGAGAACCACTCGCACTGCAATATATTTTTCAAAAGGAGGCAACAGTAGGTTTACCATCCAAACAGATTTTTCTTTTCTTCTTTTTTTTTGCTTTTATGTCACAAAAAAATGTGTATAATAAGATAATTTTAAGCCTTACAAGGTGCTGTGTGATGCTTCTTTACCAGCCGTACCTTGTCCCATCTTCATCATAAGCATAGAAGTCATCCAACATGTCTACTTGAGCAGGACTTGCTGTCAGACGGTTAGCATCTCTGAAAGAAGGGTGACTGAGCAGGGCCTCTGTGATACGAACATAACCCTTACCTATGGCACAAACAGAGAAAACTGGTTATAGAAGTGTATTTATTTTCCTACATGAATAAAATCTAAAATTGATTTAGTTAAATATAAGGTTATTATATAAAATAATTATTGTGAGTAGAAGGCAAATTGGAATAAAAACTAAAAATCTAAAAAGTGCAGATTGCCTATTTATTTAGCCCCACCTGGGTCAATCACAGTTACAGAATGTTTCTACCATTTTCCCCACATCTAGAGACTGAAATTTCATTCTTTAGATGTGAAATCTCCACTTTTTCCTTTTCTTTTTTTCAGATTATGTGAAAATGTCAGTAAAAATAGGTTTTGGATTAATGTTTTGCTGGAAGATAAACCTTCAGCACAGTTGAAAGTCTTCTGTAGCCTCTAACTGGTTTATTTCCAGTATAGCGCCATATTTGGCGTAATCTATCAACCCATTCATTTTGATGAGCTGCCCTGTCCGAGCTGAAGAGATGAATCTCCTCAGTATGATGTTGCAACACTATGTTTCACAGTATAAAGTGACTGTTTGGAATATAGCTTTTGCATGTAGCTAAAATGTTCAGTTTAGGTCTGAACTGAATTTGTTTCTGTTTTCTGCAAAATGCAAGTCAAAGATTTACAAGCAGTTTCTCCAGCCTGAGTTATGGATCTCTGCAGCTCCTCCAAGGCTACTGTTATTCTGATTATTAATCTCCTTGCTCAGTATGTCAGTTCAGCTCCATGGACATGACTCTGTGGGTTTGCGGTTGTGTCATACTTTTTTATTTTTTCATAAAATTAGATGTTCAACGTTCATAATCCAGTTCTATTTCCTGTCTCTGTTTTAAACCTCTGAACAATTTTAATCTTAATCTTTCATCTATGTTCTTTTGCTCTTGCTTGTTCATTAATATTGTCCAACAAACCTCTGAGGCCTTCACAGAACAGCTGTTTATACAAAAGTCTTTGATTTGTTCATTTCTGAGGTTGTTTGCATGAATTTTATTTTATTTTATAGGAGCTAAATACAAATGTAGAGCACTCTTTTTAGATTTATTTTTTTTGCCAAAGAAAATGTGAAAACCTTCTATTGTTCCCTTCCCATTTTGTGTTGGTTCTTAAAATATCTGGATATTTACCAAATGGGAACTTCATTAGTAAACTTTCAGTTAAATCAAATATTGAGCAGTTGATGCAAAGCTGTTATTTTTCCAGCGATAAAAATCCCTTTGCTCTGATGAAAAGTTAATTTTGACGCCTCTGTATCACATACTATCTGCTCCCTGCCAGATGAGATTAAACTTTCAAGTAAATATTTATCTACAGTATGAATACACAAGAGCACAGTTCTTACTGATGGCCAAAAGGAGAGCGTCTCCCACTCTGGCTAAGTCTGCCCTCCCCAGCAGCAGCTCCGTCACCTCCAGATGTTCATTGGCCACAGCCAGCTGCAGAGCGTTTTGTCCCATGTAATCCACAGCATTGACATTCAGGTTGGGGATCTGAAGCAGCATGCGACGCACCTCTGGGATGTTGCCGTACTCAGCTGCCTCTAGGAAACGTTGCTCGACGTCTGAAAGGCTGATCAAAGGAGCTGAGAACATGTAGGCAGGACCCCGTAGAGCCTGGCGCCGTTTTACAGTGCTGATGCGAGCTGTGAGCTGCCTGTCAGAGCTGCTGTGCCTGCTGGGAATCAGGGAAGCATACAGTTCTGATCAGAAGATAATAAAATGGATCACACTTGTCTCAATTGTTTAAAAGCTTCAAATTTGTTTAAATCTAACGTTCTTTACAAAAACAACCAAATTCAACACCGTCATGTTTTGTTAAAGAAAGATTAACAACTTCAAGTCAAAGCTGCTGTATTTACTTTTATGAGCTATCTAACAATATTATTACTCAGTTTTTTTCTTACAGACTTCCTACTTTCTGTTTTCTGTTTAAAACATTTTTAAGATATGGAAAAATCTATTTCCTACCACATCCCTTCTAATAGTTTCATATGAGTGCTGATTTTCATTGACTTGCTTTCTAAAGGTGCACTGCTACAAAAAGTAAATGAAAAGCTCAAATAACACATCCTAGACCTGAATAAATGAAATAATATCATTTAATACTTTGTTCTGTACACAGTTAAATGTACCAACAACAAAAACAAAAAATATCAATAGAAATCAATCGTATTAACCAATGGAGGCCTAATGTTGGAGTCGAACACAAAATTACAGTGGAAAAACACTAAAGGCTGATCCAACTTTGATTAATGCATATTTGTGGTCTACGGGAGGTTTTGCAGGGCTATGGCAGTGCTCCTCCTGTTCCTCCTTGCACAAAGGCAGAGGTAGCAGTTGTCCTGCTGGGTTGTTGCCCTCCTACAGTCTCCTCCACGTCTCCTGGTGAACTGGCCTGTCTCCTGGTGGCACCTCCAGCCTGTGGACTACTAAGCTGACAGATACAGGAAACCCTCTTGCCACAGCTCGCATGCTGGATGAGCTGCACTACCTGAGTCACTTGTGTGGGTTGTAGAGTCCATCTCATGCTACCACAAGTGTGAAAGCACCACCAAGATTCAAAAGTGACCAAAACATCAGGCAGAAAGCATTAGGTACTGAGAAGTGGTCAGTGGTCTCCTCCTGCTGAACCACTCCTTTTTTGAGTGCGACAGAAATTTTCATTTAATATGAATTATGTTGTGTTGTTTATGTGTTAATTGATTTGTTTTAGCAGTGTATTTACCCAGGCCGATATTTTTGATTAACTGTATGTGAAAACCTTCACAGCTTTTTGCAGGCTTTATTTAGTTATTGAAATTCTGCATGACCAGAGCAGACAAGAACGTTGGCAACACTGTATATCCCTTGCAAGGATTTATAAATGCTGGCTTGAATGAAGAAATACCAGAACTAATTTTCCTGTTAAATGAAGCCTAGGTGGAAGTTCAGCTGAAGAAACTAAATTACTATCCCTCATCATCAGAGGCTCTCTGCCTCTGATGCAAACCAATCGGCATTGAACAGCACCTCCACAAAGCCCAATCAGCATCCAGAGTTCATCTTAAAAGGTCTTTAAATCCTCGACTCAATCTGCTACCCAGCCAAGCGCAAGCAGTGGTTGCGCTAGTCTGATTTTGACATAGATTCAACCCACCTCCATCTCCTTCTCAACCATCGTAGCTATGGTCCATCTAGCTTTTTCATGGTGCTTCTTCAACCTTGTCCCCATCAAAGGTTAATTACTTACTGCATTCCCCACCACATCTCGATTGGTCCAGCAGAAGACTGCCATGTTGAGCCTGGTTCTGCCAGAGGGTTCTTCCTCAAAGTTTTTCCTCTGCATTGTAGCTTTTTGCTTGCTCATCACAGATAGGTTCATGCAAACCTCTTTATCCAAGCTGGACATCTATCTCCCGGGTCCCGAGTGAAGTACTAGTATCAGCTCACACAGTCACAGTGTTGTGGTCAAGACCACCTAAGCCGAGACCAAGACAAGACCAAGACCAGAGTGTATCGAGACCGAGACAAGACCAAGACTTTTAGGGTCCGAGACCGAGTCAAGACCAAGACCAGCGCCAGTATGTGACAATAAAATGTGAAACATGATCAAAATCACTAAAATTGATCTAAAAGACCCACATTCACATAAAAACACCTAGATATTTAACACACAGAACTGGACTAAACATTAACATCTTTATTTAGTACTTCTGTGTAGTAATCACAGAATTTCAAACAATTAATCAAAGTCGATCAAAATTGTATTTTCTCTGCCTTTCATGAACAGTACATACATTTATGTTGTTTTTAAATGTGCTATTTCAAAACAATGTGCAAAATTCTGTAAAATTTGTAAAACTGAAAAAAAAAGCCAATCATTTCTCTTGTTTCTCTCTCATATACAGATTAAAGCTATATTATATAACTTTTCTTAAATAAATCTATATCTGTCACCAAGTTGTGAAAAATGTTATGAGATAATTTGTTGAAAAAATAGATTGATCTCCTTCACTGCATTTACCAATGAGACAGGTTATTGCTTGGATTTGAATCCAAGCATCCAATAAAAAGAAATTGATAATATTATATATATATTTCCACAGTTTTGGTCTTGACCGGTCTTGAAATAAAATGCCGAGTCCTCAAGGCCCGAGACCGAGACAAGACCGAGACCAAATGGGGTCAAGTCCGAGACGAGACCGAGATCATCAAAAAATTGTCTCGAGACCGGTCTTGAGACCAAGACCGATCTCGAGTACTACAACACTGTCACAGTGTACTGGATCCCACCAATTCAGCTCAAGCAGATCATCTCGTCAACCAACAGTATGGACTGAACCAACTTCATCTATCTCCACTCCACCACTAGTTTCAGGCCTGGGGGGAAACATCCCTGTTGTCTTACAACCGCTTATGCATATTATAGTAAAATTCTGTTCTAATGTTTACCGCCGAGGTCTGAGAGTCAAAGTCTTAAAATTATTGTGTCAATAAAATTCTTCTAATTGTTTTTTTAGATTGAAATAAGAACAATTTTTCCCCTCAAAGATATTCAGGAATCTTTCTTATTCTACAGCTTTATCTCTAAGCGTTTCTCTAAAACAAACAGAACAGATCCATGTAATGACATTACCTGCTATACTCAGATGTGGCTGAACTGGAGGCCTAGACTTGATTGCAAACATGATCTCAGTAAAGCATTGTCCTTTACAAAACCTCACAAACTAAATATCTGTAAATATCCACTGCTTGAATCATTGTTATCCAAATGTCTGTTATTCAAACTGTTAATAAATATAGTAGTTAAGAGGTGGTTTATGTTTTTAATGTATATCTGGGTGGATTTCTTTTCCTTATCTTTTCTTCCATCAAATAATCATGTAGAATGATGATGTGACCCAGTTTACGTTTTAACCTACATTAATTAGGAAAACATGCCTCACATTTAACCGTATTTGCACTTTCTTTTTGTTTATCTATTAGTCCAGGTAAAATCAGAGTCTTACCCAAGGTTTTGTCCAGCAGAACAGTATTCCTCCCTAAAATCATCATTCAGCAGCAGGTTGTCCTGGCTTCTTGTTCCGGATCTGTCCATGTTGCCAGGAGATTGGCTGCTGCGATTTCCTCCCCGCGGTTTGTGGTTCATCCTGAGCGATGATCAGCAGCTGAGGGTCTGCTCCTGCTTCATGTGAGCAAGTAGTCGAGTGCCTGCGGCATGTTCCTGCTTTGCTCCCTCTGCCGCCCTCCCCCTATGTTTATTCTCTATCCTTGAGAAAGAATGCATCCTTCTGGGTCCCACTGTACTTTTATTTACATGACACAGTCAATCTCACAGATGTAGAGAAAACCTTAAGGATCACTTTGATGATCAAAATCATTCCTCTTCAAATTGTGTTCTGTATCTTTAGAAACCTTAACGCTCCCCTCTCCCCCTTACTCTGACCTCGTCTCTACCTTACCTGTCAAAGTTTTAATTAAGTTTTTAAGTTGAAGAAAAGAAAATGCAGGATATCCCTTTCCTTAAGTTTTACTGCTTGAATTGTGTATAAGAAAAACTTTGTAGTGAGCATGTTTGAATACGTGCGTGCCAGAGTGGATGATGGCTGATGTACTGCAGATGAGATTCCTCCAGGGTTAAATTCCCACTAGACCAAACTTCCTGTCCGCTCCCACTTTCCACTGATCCCTGTCAAGTGTGGGAAAACAAACACACATAATCATATATCCTTAAGGCAAGCATGGCTGTTAATTGATATGGTGCATGGTAATCTTATCTCTGTTTTAGAGAATTGTTGCCTCAATCTAACTCAGGCCTCAGTTTCATTATAAGTCATATTGGTACAAACCTTAAAAGTAGAAAAGAATCTGAAAGCGCAAAGTCTCTGATGTCTGATAGAGTGAAAACTGCCTTTTAAGGCTCTGATTACTTAAGATTAGTCACTTCGTACATTTCATTCTGTGAGAGAGTTAGATGGCTTCAAGGAATAAGGTCTAAACACTGACGTATGTCAATAGTAGGAGTTTTTGTTAAGACTTCCTGCACAGAGCAGAACAGACCCAAGATCTAGGTGTAAACACTGTCAACCCAAACATACACAGTTCCATTAGGGGGGACAGAGAGTGCAAAGCACCTGAACGTGTCCCGTTCTCTATCTGTGTGTGCGTTTCTATGGATGGAAGCTGCCAACACATGCACATACCAGACCACACAAGAGCCAGACTTCCAACAATGTTATCAGCTGAATTAATGAATCTTTATCGAGTAAAAACACACAAACATAAAGTAAATCACGTGTTCTTGCGTGTAGAACTAAACAGGAAGACAGAGGTGGGAGATTACAGAGAAGAACTCCTCAGATGGGCCTTCTGCTCTTTGCTTTAATGGTGAAGTACTCTTATTTTTGCCTTCAGTACATCGTTTTATTCAAAAAACACACCAAGCAGCTTACAAAACTGAATGAAAAAAAAACAGAGGTAATAATCTTTGGACCAAAGGAGGATAGAATAAGAGTTAGCACACGCTTTCAGCTACTACAGCTAAAAAAAAACCTGATTGATGTCCTGATGGACTCAGACCTGAACCTTCAGAAGCACGTAAAGACCTTTTATCACCTGAAGAACATTTCCAGGGTTACAGGACTAATGTCTAAGAAGGATCTAGAAAAACCTAATTCATTCATGTATCTTTATTATAATTGATTACTTGAAAGTTTTCTTCATGGTTTGCCTAAAACGTCCATCTGACAGCTGCAGTTCATCCAAAACAATGCTGCCTGTATTCTCACTAGAACTGAGAAAGTAGAACACATCAGCCTGGTTTTAAAATATTTCCACTGGCTCCCTGTAGCTCAGAGAATAGACTTTAAAATCCTTCTGTTAGTCTATAAATCACTGAATGGATCAGAACCTCAATACATAACAGGTTTGTTGTGAGTGTATCACCCAGATCAGGTCTCAGGTCTTCTAGTTCCAGCCTACTCTGTTCACCCAGAACTAAAACCAAACATGGAGAAGCAGCATTTAGTTCCTATGCTCCATTGATCTGGGACAAACTCCCAGAAGACTGGACAACTTTTAAAAGCCTGAGTTCTTTTAAGTCACAGTTAAAAACCATTTTTTTTTAAAACAGCCTTTGACAGTTGAAGTTAAACTGTTAACTGAGGTATTGTTAGTTTAAAGTTTTAAGATGTCTTTATATGATTTAATTCTGCTTTTATTTTCCTTCTATTTTATACGTCAATTCTCATAAAGCACTTTTGTCTTTGAACTGAATTGTGCTCTATAAATAAACTTTCCTTGCCTTAGAACGATTTAGTATATTATGTGAGTGGTGAAAATGTTTTTCCGATCCTTTAAGCTGTTTTTCCTTTTTTTTGACATTTAAATTTCAGGATTTTGTAAATCAAGAAAAGTACAAAATCTTGGATGGATAACCTCAGTTATTATATGATACAGGTTTAAATTCGGAATTAATTTCATAAAAGAAAAATGAAATTAATGTTGTCAGTGCATCAGCCACCCAGACCTTTCAGATGTTCTGGCAGGACTCTGTGTACCCAGAACCAGAACCAGCAAGGAGAGACGACCTTTAGTTCTCATGCTTCACTAATCTGGAATAAACTCCCAGAAAACTGTAAAAGGGATGAAACACTGAGTTTTTTAGAGTGATCTTAAAATACTTATCATGGTGAGGATTTTATAGGCAGTAAATGCCGTTTAAATTCTTCAGTGTTGCAATGGTTTGCACACATTAACTAATAAATTTTTTATTATGTTTTTCTCAAAATTTTTCTATTGTTAATCTTTAAAATGTCCATATATTGACCTATTGACCTATATTAACTCTTCCTGCTTCAGAACAGTCAGTCTGCTGCAACTGGATTTAGACTCTGCTTAAGGCACTCTTATAATCCTTAATAATCCACTTTTAGCAATTTATTCACCTTAGGTGCTTAGGGCCTGAGGTGTTTTGTGATTAAAGTTTAACTTACCAAGGGAGAATTCAAAGAAAATATGTGAATTCCTTGATTTGAACTATTTTATTAGAAATACAGACATGTAAAGCACCCCTGATCACTGGGACACAAGGAGGGCAGACACAGGGATGGCCGCACCCACCAGTAAAGGGCAGACAAGAGCAACTGTAGCCCGACCCCGAGGGGCCAAACCCCAAAGGGGTCCAGCCCCTGAGGGGCCAAACCCCAGTGGCTACAGCACAGAGGTCCCACTGGGGCGCAGCAGCAAGCTCCAAAGGGCTCGCTGACTAAGACACTCAGGTCAAGCTGCATGCACAAGCAACTCCCTGCTCTCCCTCCACCCCTTTACTGACATTAGGTCCCTTATAGGGGAGATGTATGTATGATGAATAAATGATGTTTTAAAGGATGATGTATAAAGTACGTTCCACACCACCTTAATTAACCTAGAGCCATTGCACCCAGATCCAAGAGCAGCCTAGTCATAACAGCAGGCGAGCATCGGTCCAAAACCAAGCCCCCAACCTCCAATAGGGAAACCACCCAAGGGCAGGCCTTTCCATGGACCCCAGGTCCTTCCAGGCCCACCCAGGCCGGTAACCCATATCCGCCAACGCAGATTCCCCAAAGACTTGCACAGCCTCCAGAAGTCTCACCCCGGGCCTCCCAATGCCCACTTGGAGGAGCAACCCAGTGAGAGAAATGTTCCAAATCAGCTTCAGTACGCCACCCGGACAAAGCAACAGGCCACACATTCCTAAGAGGAAAGGTAGCCAATCAAAAGTTTCTAGAGAGATTGATTTACTAATGAGCAGAGGCCCTGTATAGATTACTTGAATTGAACAGAATGTCTCTGTTCTGGTTAATATTTAGACTGTTCTTTTTTTCCAGTTCATGAGGATAGTTTTCTTTCCAGTACATAAGGCAGTGAAGATGACATACAGGGAACTGCTGTCCAATTCATCTAGTTTACCCAGTAAACCCAGTCATTTCTGTATTTTGGAAGCATTGTGTAATTGGATAGGTATCAACCATTATTTCCAGTGCTGGATTACCTTTGATTACAATTTCTGACCAGTATCTAATGACAGTTTTGGAATTGGATTCTTATTCTTAAATATTTGCTTGTTTTTTGTTTGTTTTTTTGCTACAAATGTTTTATTCTGTTAAAAGTTTTTATTTTTATTTTTATTCTGTTGACCTTGCCTTTTATTCCGTCGAAGTGTAAAAAAGGCAAGGTCAACAGCACCATCTGCTGGAATGGATCGTTTCTCTTCTCAATCATAGACATTTCACCTTCTCTTAGCCAAATAACTGTAGTAGAAAGTAAAAACAAAAAGAAAGAAATAAGGATAAACTAAGTTTTACCTATTTTATAATGCAGAAATTGCTTCCTGCTGAAGTTAAAGCTGTGGATTTTTAAATCACTTTGGGCAGTTAGGCTATGATAAAGTAATTATAGAATTAATTTAAATTTCTTATAGTCTTACTGATAATAAGCCAGAGACCTGCAAAGTAAAACTGTTCTAAAGTTTCAGGACTAAATTTTCTGCACTTACATGGATATTTAGGTAATGCTGACATGAGATAGGAGCCAAATAATCCTGATCTTGTGATTTGCAGTTTTGGTTGTGTTTAGGTTTTTACTCTGGGTTTTTGGTTACACTTTGATTTCTGTCATTCTGTGTTTTCTAGTCATTAGTTTTATCTGCCTTTAAGGTCATTGAAGTTATTTTTGAGAAATATTTAAGCCCTCTTTTATTCCCTTGTTACTCTCCGCCCCCACCACCCCAGCTCCCTTCTAGCTACTTCTGCCCACACCTGCTCCCAATCAGTTGATTACTTCATTCATTGTACTGTTGGCCATACATACCCCTCTGAAGTTATTGTTTTCTGTGTTCTCTCCATTCACTCCTGAAATTTTGTGTTACTCTCTGTTCTGGTTCCTTTGTTCCCTTGTTTGTTATTTTTAGATTTATTCTTCTCTTGCCACCCCATTACATCTGCAAGAAACCATCTCTGCCTTTGGCTCTGCATTTGGTTCCTCTACAATCCTCCACTCATCTTGACACAAATTATTTCAAACGTGGAGTCATATTTTGATATGTCTGTATTGATGGTTAAAAAATTTTTATTTGAATAGATTATTTAGCAACTGGGTCTCTGTGTAATATAAAAAATATAACCGCGGATGTCTGGGGGACAGTGATTCGCCTACATGTTATGAATGCAGGCGTACCATAAATGATAAATTATGAACAGTTTAGTTTGTGCCTTTAAGTCGTTGCTCATAGGAAGACGTTACTTGGATATAACGACAGGGCATTGGATGTAGGAGTTTGCTCTGAAATCGAAGGGTTGACGGTTCAGGCCCCGACTCCGACTTTTAGTGTCGTTGTGTCCTTAGGCAAGACACTTCACCTGCATTGTCTACTGATGGTGGTCAGGGGGCCCGGTGGCGCCAGTGTATGGCAGCCCCGCTTCTGTCAGAGAGCCCCAGTGCAGCTGTGGCTCCAATGTAGCTTGCCGCCATCAGTGTGTGAGTGTGTGCGTGAATGG